ACGTGAGGAAAAAACGGGATAAGGGGAAGAGATTTGGGAGCACAAGAAAGGGACTGAACGGGTATTTCCATGAGCAAAGGTAGCTGTGGTGAGCGCTGAAGATGTCCTGCTGGGTGGGCAGAAGGCTTCTCTCCTGTCTTCCTTGGGAAGCGACAAAATCCATGTTCAAGCCAAAGCAACTTGGTGTGAGGGGAACAAGGAGCTTTAGTGAGGCTGATCCACAGCCAATGCAGAAAAATGGGCTCCTCTGCAGGATGTATCTGAATGTTTAAGGGTGAAATGTTGTGAGATGGCTCACCAGATAAACAGCTGCTGGGAAGGGGCAGCTCCCCCTCTGCCCTAACTGCTGGATGTGTGGTCCCTCCCTTCTGCACAGGCTCTGGGACTTGTCTGACCTTGCGGTGAACCAGTTCAGCTCTCTAAGAAGTAGAAAATAATCCCTTTTGTCTTTTCTCCTCTTCCCACCTCCTCAGGTTAATTATCTCTCAGTATAAACAAGGTGAATCAGCCAGCCAAGGAGACAGCTGAGGGCCGGAGCCATAGCAAGGGAAGTGGTGGGTGAGTGTGGGACCAGAACAATGTGGAGAGCAGGATGGCCCATGCAGCAGCATGGATAGGTGAGCTCCTTTTTGCCACCTCTGAACCTTTCCTCCATTCAGCTCCTGCTCTGAATCGCTCTCCGCTGAGTCCTGAGGGAACCTTTGACCAGCTACTCATCACTGCAAATTTACTATCAGCGTATCTTTCATCAGCACCAAAGCCAGACGAGGCAAGAACTGTTTGAACTGGCAAGAACATGCCCATGTGAGCAAGACCAGAAGTAGGAGATTCTTATCTCTAAGTGAATTGATACGGGCCATATCCACACTTGAGTCCAGAGTCATGAAGCTGGCGTGGACACAGTCCAGGTAGCTCTAAACCATCTGGCTCGCATGTTGGTAGCAACAGGGCAACAGAATGTGCTCTGGTCTGCAAAACTCAGCCAAGCCCTGAGTAAGTATTTGTGCAGCTACCTGTCTGGGCACCATACAGTTATCGATATATCGGCTGGTACTAGTTTGGGCTGCCCTCAAAGCCCGAAGGCGAGAGTACAGACATAACCTTGTAGAACAGATTATGAAAAGAAGCTCTGTTGTATTTGCCCTTCATATTTTTTTCATTTTCCTTTCCAAAGACTGTTTTATTACAAGAAAACAAAAGAAACACGAACCACGTCTACCAACAAGAATCCAGCTACCCACCTTCCATAACCCACTAAAGAAAGGAATGACAGGGAAAGCGGGCGAGATGATATGCTCATCTGACCGTCTTTTCTTCCAGTCCTGTTGATTTCTTGTTATTAACATTTTCTCCATTAAGGTACATGGAAAATGGCTTAGTTACATAGAGGGAAAGGCAGTTGCTGATGTGAAATGCACTGTTGCTTGATTGCTTCCATCGCTGGGCAAGCGAAGCTGGCTCAGACCTAGACAGCCAGAGAAGCTGGGGAGGAGGGTAGGTGTTGGAGGGGAGCCAATGAGAGAGGATGACATGGCAGGTATGAAAAGACACTTGATCTGAGCAGGAGTTGGCGCCGCCAGGCAAGCTGTTGTGATGAGTAGCAGAGAGATAAATTAATAACAAATGACATCCTTTGAAGCTGACCTAGTGGTGGACAGACGGTTGCCAAACCAGGGGCTCCTCCTGTAGTGCAAAAAGCATTGGCAATAACACGTTCCAGCTCAGATGGGTGAGGGAGAGCATGAAATGAAGAGCAGAGCTGGCTGTGATAAATGACTCCTGAAGGATTCGTGGCCGTCTAATGCGGAACATACGCAGCATGCCCTGTTTATGAGTGAAGACCAGGAGGCTGACACGTGTCAGGAACTGAAGGCTGGCTCCTGTTCTGGGGGAGGAGAAGGAGGAGGCAAGCGCTGAATGGCAGGGAGGAAATCATGGTTATTTGGTTTTAAGTAAAACAGTACAGGTGAACGTACAGCTGGCCTGACTCTCTGTTCTCTTTGAAACCAATGCAGCTATGCTAAAAAAAAAAATTGAACTTGAGGAAAACAAGGATGAGGAAACGTCAGAAGAACTTAGGTGTACGTGAGCTAACAAGTAAAATGAAGACTATCTTAAAAACTGCTTCCCTGGCCTATAAGAACTGATCCAAGTGTATTTTAAGGGCGTCAACAACCAAGGAAAGCAATCAGTTGGTAGAGTACGGGTAGGGAAAAAGAAGATGAACTAGATAAAAGTTGAGTGTGGAATTTAGCAACTTACCCTAAAGATAGATACTTCAGCAGCAGGAAGTGTTGAAAAGGTATAGCAAAATGTCCAGACAATGCAATTGTACTATTGTTTTAGCTGCCAGTTCCCTATCATTTGTTGTGCGTTTATGATGCGTTTTCACAGAAAATGCTTTTCTTTTGTCAAGTAAAAGACAAACTGAGGAAAGAAAACTGAGTCCTCGGGCACTTAATGGATGGTATGGAATGTTTTAGACTATTACAGCACCTTAAAAGGCTACGAATAGCATAGGTGATATGAATTGGGGAACACTGCTTCCACCTTCTTGCTTTGCAATTGAAGAAAGCCTCTATGTTAAGCTCGCTTTCTTTTGACCACAGTGTTCTTATCCTAATTACAAAAGTATGTGTCATCTTAAATCTCACCAGCTTCAGAGTTCAACCTGTTCCTAACCTTGCCGCAATAGTGAGGAGGCAACTGCAAAACCTGGGAACTTAAATTCATCTTCAATCACTCTTGGGTCTTCAAATGGAGACAGAGTCTGTATAACAGCCCTGGTGGAGTTTGTGTTCCCTTGTTAAGGAGCAGACTTCAGAAGA